TAATGCTATCTATTACACACCGTTACCACCCCCAGCGCACCACCAAGACTCCCGCCCTTTCCGCTCTCATCACGACTCACGCGACCTCGCTCCTCTCCTCCAGGCAAAATCCTCAAGCCATACGAGCCACAGCTTTTGCCGCCCAAAGACCCGGCCTTGAGGGTTTTATGTCCATCAAATGGATTGTCGAACTCCATCCAGTCGAGATCGAAAAAAAAAAGTGCTATGAATGCATCAAAAGACAATTGGTCATTATGATCGTAGGACATGACACTTCCCGCCGGTAGAGAAAGCGCAGAATAACACGAATTTAGAGACATGCGATTTGTTTCACAGTAAGAACAAGGAACGGATCTACGATCACGGTACGCCAGGCTTCGGATCTGATCTAACGGAGTGAAAGATGACGCAGAAAGAATTGGGAAGACCGAGGTGGCCGCGCAGAAGTCAACTGTGAAGATCAAATAGCGTATTTGCGTGTCCATTCGCGGGCCGTCGCTTCGTACCGAGGGCGGTCGGTCTTGTAGACGTGAGCGATCTCAGGCACCAACGGGTCGTCCGGGTTAGGGTCTGTGAGCATTGAGCAGATTGAAAGCAGCACTAAAGAGCGGTCAGCATCTAAGATAGGTGGCTCATTCACATCGAAGAATACCTTTAGAGATTGTAAGAGCGGGGCTCCATTGGTCTCGCAGAATGTCAAGACAGATACTGCCATTCGAGTTGATGTTGGGGTGGTAGATACGAGTCGTGAAGTTGACCTTGGGTGGCTTGAATGGATAATCGGTAGGGAAGTGGATGGTCAGGAAGAAGACGCCTCCCGAGTATGGCGAGTCACCCTGTCAAAGATGAATGTCAGTATTAGATCCAATCACTCTTGAGTCACAAATGCGACCAGTGGCTGAAATACGGTGAGGAACTTACAGGACCCATGATTGTTGCTTGCCAGTGAAACTATTAGAAACCACCAAGTGTCAGTGGCCATATTCAAGAAGTAATGAGATACCGGTAGGAAGTTGCATGACACAGGCGGATTCATGCAGTATGTGGCGCCGCACATGGCAGCTGCACACACGACAGTAACAACAAAGCTTGCGACAGAGGGTCGGGAAGATATCATACCAGATCATCTCCAACAGGGCCAGCAGAGCAGGAAGAGGGCGGATCACTAGATGAAGAATCAATATCAGCATTGTGGAAACCTAAGGATGACGTCTTGAACTCAGAAAATGGAAGCGCCTTGAGGACGCCCAAGGCACCCCGCAGTAGTGGGGTGAACGACAGAACGCCGCAGTTGACACGGACAACGACAGAGAGAGCGAAGAAGTGAGTGTCTTACCGGCCGAGGTCAGTGAGTTCCTTGTTAATTCTCTTGAGAGCCATGTCGAAGTTGTGTGATATGAAAAGAGTGTAGATAAAAGATCAGCCACTCAAGGAAAGGTATTGTTTGTCCTACACACACAGAGTTCCGCACGTTAGTACCGAAGATCAGGAAGTGAGTAATAGATCAACCGAAACAAAACAGAAGATAATGAAGAGAAGAGAAGAGAAGAAAGCGAGGAAGAGAATGATAAAAAATGGGGAGGACTAAGGGTGCACTCACTAGGGACAAGAGATGGATTTGATTACGTCGGAAATGGGAGGGCGAAAAAGAAGAAGAAGAGCAGGAGGAGGGGAAAAGAGGAAGGGAATTGGAATTGGGCTGAAAGAGGGAAAACGAGAGAGAAGGAGAGAGAGTGGCAGAGAACCTCAGGCAAACTTCCCGATCAGCGCGTTACTTACGTACAGCGCCGTATTACCGTCAGAATACCCACAGCGCTAACCTGAGTAGGTTAGATTACCTTTAATTTTACTCGATGAAACTAAATCCTTTCCTGCTTCAGCCACACTGCGTCATATGGTTTTGTCGCTTCTTAAGGGTGAAAAGCAATATCAAGCGACGTCCTATTCCTGAACGTAGAGAATAAAATTCAGTTTTGATTGGGATGGTGAATGATTACATTTGCGATCGACCCTAAGTAAGAATTCAGCCCCTGTTGATCAGGTCACGGTAATGTATCATGCCTTCAATGTCAACCTTGATGCATCGCCACTGTCCGCCAGTTGATAACTCGGTACTTAACTCTAAGTGGACGATCGATACGCCATTACGGATCGTTCCTTTGTCTTTTCATTCAGCCTTGTCCTTTTCCTTACGGCGGATTACACAGATTTACAAATCATGACAAAGTAAAGACTTTGAGCCTATTTTGCATCTCGTAAGGCGGTGGTGGCAAGTAGAGGAACTGAGATATCAGATTTTGTCGGTATCTTTTTATGTTACAGTGTATGGCTGGGTACGGAATGAGAAGGTATGAAAATTGTGGTAGCATGGCCGTTTGCTATGGCTTCTTCTGCCTCTATCATGCTGCGGCTTGGATATATACAGTCAATATCAAACATGGTTCCAAAGCGATCATTCCTACAGGTCAACCAGGAAGGGCAAAAATGTCTTAGACAAACGCTTGGACTCCTGTGATGGCCCGTCCCAGTATCAATGCTAAATCCCAGCAATGTCAGTCTTGCAGATGGCAGGCTATGATATCCGCTGGGTACTCACCGTGAATGTCACTCTGTCCTTCGTAGGTCTGCACCACAAATAGGTTGGCTACGTGTCGTCCGATATGGTATTCGTCGCTGGTTGCATTACCACCGAAAATCTCCTGGAGCCTACGCATCGAAAAAAGGCTGTTAGGAAAATTCGACTTTTGAGTAGCGGAGTATTGCAGGAAGGGAGACACATACAGCCGTGCATTCGCCAGAGCTCGATCACAGTTCTGCCTCTTGACCATGGAGATCATCTCGGGAGTGCTCTTGCCCGCGTCCTTGAGCCGAGCGACCTGAGTGGCAGCCAGCGTTCCATATGCCGCATCAGTGGCTGCATCGGCCAGTTTCTTCTGGATGAGCTGATACTTCGCCAGCGGGTTGCCCTTGAACTGCTTGCGCTCCAGTGCATAAGTGCGGGCACGATCGATGCAGTCCTCCAGAGCGCCCATGGCACCGAACGCAATGCCCAACCGGGCACTGTTCAGGCAGGTGAAGGGTCCCTTGAGGCCTTCGACGTCCGGAAACATGTTCTCCGCCGGTACAGGGCAATCGTCCATCTGGATCATACCCGTGATTGATGCGCGCAGAGCAGTCTTGTTCTTGATTGCCGGCGTTTGTAGTGTGCCGGGTGGGCACTGGCTACGCTCGACGATGAACCCCTTGATCTTGCCCGTTGTCTGCAATTTGGCCCATACCAACATGATATCCGCGATTGGGGAGTTGGTGATCCATGTCTTCGCTCCGGACAACAAGTAGTATCCCTTCTTGGTCGGATGTTCGCGTGCTGTCGTCTCCATCGAACCGGGGTCGGAGCCGTGGTTGGGTTCTGTAAGACCAAAGCAGCCTGCCAGTTTTCCCTTGGCCAGCTGCGGTAGGAACCGGTCCTTCTGCTCCTGAGTGCCGAACTCGTAGATACCCGTCATCGCCAGCGAGCTCTGCACAGACATTCCAGATCGATATCCCGAGTCCACACGTTCGACTTCTTTTGTGATCAACCCCGAGGCAACCGTACTCGCACCGGCGCATCCATACCCTTCAATGCTCGCGCCGAGAAGGCCTAGCTCCCCCATTTCCTCCAGGATTTTACGGTCATAGTCTTCGTTTCTATAGGCATCTAAACAAACGCAAATCTGTCAGCAGAAGTCATACACATCGTCCCTAGGCATGACTTACCGAGAACACGGGGAAGTAATCGCTCTTGGCAGTATTGTCGGGCTGTGTCCTGAATCGCCAATTCCTCGTCGGTATACAGCTCCGACGCCGCGAGGGGATCCTCCCAATTAAACACTGTTGAATATGCTCGTACCGAAGTATTCTGGCAGACCGCGGGGGCCTTATAAAGGCGATTCGCTGATCGAAGGTGACGCGATGCTGCGCGGAAGATTGAGCGGTTCATGATTGACTCGTATGAAAGAGTGCGGCGCAAGAAGAAGGGATGTGAGTGAAGTAGTAGAAAGCAAACGAAGACCGGGTATCTATTTTAGTGAATCTCCTCCTACACAGCTCCCAAGTCGAATTGGAATTGACTGCGGCAACTGACGGTATCCAGAGCAGCAAGGTTGGAACATGAATTGCGGGGAGGCCGATTGTCGGATAACGCTTGACCTCGGCAGTTGATCGGGATGTGTTTCTGCCCTGCGATGATAAAGCAATTCGAAGTATCGAATTCGGTAGTGAAGCAAGAACTGAATCGAAGCGAGTTCAACTATCGATTTCGTCCATACCTATATACCCACACTGAAGGCCGACCTCGGTATTCGTCGGTCATCCGCACCACCTTCTTTGGGTCATGTTAAGCCTCGGGATTGTTCCCGTTCCGTCGGTGCCACCATCCCAGAACCGTCTGGATAAGGGAAGTCCTAACTCGGGACATTTGGCTGTCTGTATGAAATTCTTGGTAATCTATGTGCATGCTCTAGGCTACATGGCTGTCATATCAACTATTTACTCGATAGCCGAAAGCCTCGCTTCACGATTATAGCTTGGTAACATTGTCCTTCATGCCTGTCTCGATGGAGTGAATCGTTATGAAAGTGTCATTCAGCGACAGCTGAGGTTTGCAGTTGCCTATATAAGGGTAGGTTTGTTGCTTGGAGAAATCCACTGTCGGAAGAGGAGTGCCTTCCCAGTGGGGAGTTGGACGGAGATGACTTGCACGCTCGGATGGCAGCTCTTCGGCCATTCGAGCCATTCGAAATGATCGTGGACACGTTAACACGACAATGTAATGCTCAACAGTTCATCGGCGGACTCAAATATGGGATACTTATGACCGAAGCCGGAGTCGACTGGCTAATTTCCATTATAATTGAGTAGTGATGTCGGAGGATCCAGCCAGAACCCCAACCTGGGCCCTCGAGCAAAATGAACTATGTACCAAGGCAACGTGCCTTGGTGCCGATGACTGCCGGGACACCTCAGGCAGGCATCTGAGACTGAAGAAAATCGAAGACTCCCGTAGGGAAATACTCCTCGTCGAAGCCCCATAAATCAGCCATCATAGGATCCAGAGAGCCTATCGAGAGACCTGGCTCCTGTTTTCCCTGCATCTGAGCAGGTCCGTACCCATTACTGCGCTCAGCCGACAGAGGAGCCATTCCGGGTAGCGGAGGAGGGTGGTTCAGAATGGTGTCTCGTTCACTCAATGGTTGCGCTCCAGGAATTATAATGGGTTTGAATATTGATGTAGTCTCATAGGAATTCTGTCCCAGAGATTGCTGGCCCCCTGAATTTCTTTTTTCCCACTCTTCGAGTCCAGTAAGCATCTTGCGCAAGCCACGGGCTATATGATGAGTAAGATGGCGCTCACTAGCACGCTTGCTACAAGTGACCATCAGTTCAATAATTTTACCAACCAACGCACGAACGTAAGGCGCGTCGATTGAAAGACCTGCCGAGGCAATGGAATTTTGCTGCCCTTGCGCATTGGGTAGCGTCGCGGAGCAACACTTGGCGGCGATCTTGAGGAGGAACACAGCTGCAAAGGTGATCATGCTGTGCAGATATAGAGGAACGCCGATCAAAGCTCTTTGGATGTCGGGCTCATCGAGTACCACTAGGAGGGTTTCGATCGCAGATTCTATCGCCAGATTGGCATGTTTCTTGCGTTCAGCGGACATCGGCCGCGAAGAATTCGAGGAGTGATACGTTCGTAAAGCAACCGAGTTTAGTTGCAGACGAGAGAAGTGGTAGTGCAGATAGACGGCTTTGTAAGGGTATGCACCGACATACCGACTTCCAGCTGTTTCCGTCTCAATGTTAGAGTTCTTTTCAAATCACCAACGTAAACAGATCAAGCCGTTATGCGTACCTAAACGAGGGAGCCAGGCGGAGCGCCAATCTCCAAGATCAGCGTCGAACTTATTGATTGTAGAGAATTCGCTCTCGGAAACCTCCAGGTCGACATCGGGACCGAAAGCGTGATATATTCGAGTCAAAATAATAAACAGGTCCACTTGGCTGTGAAGGCGTAGATCCGACTGCTGCACCGCCGGGGAAATTGTAAACGTATTGTGATTCGCGATGCTTGGATCTTCATGAATGATAGGCGGCCGTCCGTATGCGATAGAGAAATGGTGCTCCAGGGTCTATACAGTCGATTTCGGTGCGTCAATGATCTGGCAGCCGTCACAAACTCGTGATCGAGACCTAGACTTACATAGAGAAGGTACCAGAGCCTCACTTGTTCTATATGCTCCACAGAGCCCTGCATGGCCTTGCGATAGGATTGGTGAAGGTTTCGTTCAGTCGCAATTCGGACCGCATATCCTGAAAGCTTCCAGCTGACATCCGCAAGCCAGAATGCGCCAACACATAACGCACGCAAATCGTCGAGGGTATGGTGTCTATCAAGCATGGATTCCGAAGCCAGCTTGGCGAATTCCGTATAACAGGTATCGAATGTTTTCTCCTTGTTGGGTAAGTGGAGAGCTGAAACAGCAAGAATGGCGGCGGAGAGCATTGAGGAAGAGTTGCGAACAGATGTAAGATCCTTGTGCACCAACGCCATACCATCCCACAGATAACGACTGAGCACCTGATCAAAGAAGTGGAATAGGTCCTCCGCCTCTTGTAGATCAATCACTCCTCGCGATACGAAGTCGGTCACTAGTGCCCGGTCGTGTGCATGCTGACGTCCGGGAGAACTTGGAGGGATGTCGCTCAGCCTAGTCACTTCGTATAGACTTCCCATCGGCGCAGTAATCAAGGATGATGTTCCATTTTCTTCCCGATCGAGGGAGTACTGGGAATGTTGCTTAGGAAAGGAATAATTCGCCGAGGAGTTTGGACCTATTGGGACCGATTCCAAGTTTGAGCCTATCGAGCTCGGTCTCCTGTCATGGTTGACCGTCGCAGTGCCGGTATCTTCGGTTGATGCTGTCGATTCTTTGCGGCCTCTTTTCCTGGAAGGAGTCTCCATCGATTTGCCCAGCGACTGATAGTATGACAAGTCCGGTAGCTGAGCCTTTCGGAGTAGATCCGTCATTGCAAGCTCAACCGCCGTCTTCCACCTGTATGATTATGGAACGATTAGCGATGGTGTACAATAATGACGATATACGTATGAACTATATTTACTCTGTCTCATCGTCCAATAAAGTCTGTAGGCTTTTGTTGACAACACAGTCCAAGCCCATGCGACGGCATCTCTGACATGGCGCCTCCCCTTCCTTATCACAGCGCACCTTGTGATTCTTGCAGTTTGTACATGCACGGATTCTCCGTGAGATCTTAGGGATATGTCTCAAAACTTGCTGTTTCGAATCCTCGTCGGTCGCCATATGCGGGTAAGCTCCCTGAGGAGAGTCTGAAGACGCATGGCCATTGGCTTCGAATTGAATGCGACTCCGCTTCATGGTTACTGTAAAAATAGGAGGGTCATCCTCGGAGCAGTGCGTAAAAATGTACCGTTGTATGTGACTTTGCTCCCAACGAATTTGGCCCCCGTTGAAGAGAGGTGCAACATTCAACCTGAGGGGGGAGACTGAATAATCAAGTCCGGCCTAGTACGGGGTAGATGTGCGCCTGTCTGGCAGGCTCTGCCTACAAATGCACCGACTTCACATATCTATTACCTGATCTATCGACCGAGAACGGAGGGACCACGGATGCCGTCAGCGAATAGCAGCGCCTCCCTCCCCGTTACAACCTTTCCTTTCGGCTTTCCAAGCTCCTAAGGTACCGTACCTACACGCGGAGAACGAAAGTCTGGGCCCGTGGGGTCTTACCGCCTTACAGTTACAGCCTTGGCGCCTGAGGCCGGGGGAACTCCCGCGGGGTGTCAGCATCACGTGGAAATTCAGCTCAATGGCACTAATCCCAATCAGGCTCAAATGATGTATGGCGCGTTCATCCTTCCGCGGCGCGTCTGATCGCGAGTCAAGCTATTTTTGAGCTTCATACCTCGAACACTTTATTCTAGTGACTGGTCTACCAACACAGCAAGGGAGTAGCAATTGCCCTCTTCTTTTTGGCTGTATCCTAAATTCTAGAACAGCCGCCATGGGTATTAAACGTAAGTGAACTTTGGGCCAGTTAAGCAGCTACCACCACATGGTTGGACGCTTGAATAGAGAGCTGATTGGGGGGCTCTAGATTTGTTTCAAGTTATCCAGGAGAATGCGCCAGATGCTATCAAGGCAGGGGATATCAAGAACCACTTTGGCCGAAAGGTCGCCATCGTATGTAGTCCTTTTCTCCCGATCCTACTAGCCAGTATGGAAACACATTTGAAAGTCGCAGTGATACTCACAAGCCATGGTTGAATAGGATGCGTGCGTTGAACGTTTCTCGAACACGTCAAGTCATGTAACTCACATCTTGCAGGTCTATGAGTATCTATAGTTTTTTGATCGCCGTCCGCTCTGAGGGCCAGCAGCTCATGAGCGAGTCGGGCGAGACAACGTCGCATTTGATGGGAATGTTTTACCGTACATTGCGCATGGTCGATAACGGAATCAAGCCTCTCTATGTCTTTGATGGAGCGCCACCGAAACTCAAGTCCGGTGAACTGGCGAAGCGTACTGCACGAAAAGCAGAGGCTACTGAAGCCCATGAGGAAGCAAAAGAGACGGGCACTGCGGAAGATGTCGAGAAGTTCTCGCGACGCACGGTGCGTGTTACAAAGGAGCACAATGCGGAATGCAAAAAGCTGTTGAAGTTGATGGGTATCCCGTACATCGACGCCCCGACTGAGGCGGAGGCCCAGTGTGCAGTGCTTGCGCGGGCAGGGAAGGTCTATGCCGCTGCTTCTGAGGATATGGACACGTTATGTTTCGAGGCGCCAATTCTTCTCAGACATCTTACGTTCAGCGAGCAGAGAAAGGAACCCATTCAGGAGATCCATTTGAATCGTACTCTAGAGGGACTCGGTATGGATCGCAAACAGGTAGGCGACTCTCTTATCCCCAGAATCACTTTACGCATACGGTTTCCTCATGCTTACTCCCGGCTGCACAGTTCATTGATCTATGCATTCTTCTGGGCTGTGACTATCTAGAACCTATCCCGAAGGTCGGGCCAAACACCGCTTTGAAACTCATTCGGGAGCATGGAAGCTTAGAGAAGGTGGTCGAGGCAATCGAGAGCGACCCCAAGAAGAAATATGTCATCCCAGAAGATTGGCCCTATCAGGATGCAAGGGAGTTGTTTCTCCATCCGGACGTGCGGGAAGCTGACCATCCCGAGTGTGACTTTAAATGGGAGGCGCCAGATATTGAAGCTCTGGTGGAGTTCCTGGTCAAGGATAAGGGTTTCAACGAGGACCGGGTTCGCAACGGAGCCGCTCGCCTGCAGAAGAATCTCAAAACTGCTCAACAATCACGGCTTGAGGGATTCTTCAAACCGGTCGCCCGGACGGATGAGGAGAAGGCTAGTCTCAAACGCAAGCATGATGAGAAGTTACAGGAACAAAAGAAACGCAAAAAGGAAGAGGCTAAGGCTAAGAAGGAGGCCAAGGCGAAACCCCGCGGTGCTGCGTAGGTTGCTTGTCTTTTTGCAGGACCAGCTTTGCAGGAGTCGTGTCGGGGAGACGATCTCAAGGGTACACGGGCTCGCATGTTGCGTGACAGTACTATGTAATATTGCTGGCGTTTCTGGCTTTCCGCTACAGGCCTGGCGTTTTTCTTTTTCCATGGCATATGATGGTTCACGTACGATTAGGGATTGTAAAAGAACATGATTATTTTCTGCTTATAGGTCACGTTCTGATTTTGACAGTACCTGGTTCCGCGTAGGGACACTGCATTCCTCCGTCCTCCATTTGTCCATTTGATCTGTTTTGACAAGACGCCCAAGGGATGGACATGTAATAGCAGCGCGGCTCGATAATACGGCAGCATTGCAGGATTTGGGATCTTCAAGTACTAAAGCGTGGAAAAAGCCTGCTCGTGCATCCGCCTGCTGCGGATTTATATACGCATTGGTGTCTTAATATCTAGCAATACTAGTGGTACCCCTGGTCCGACCAACACAATATGCCAGAGTCAATATTCTGAATTGATGTAGGACTTGATGGATAACATAAGAATCAAGCAGCAGATTGGACGACAATAAAAGAAATAAATGAAGCCTTAAGCCGTATTACTTCACCGTCAAGGACGAGAGGGCGCACGCAGTGGTACTAGCGGGCTTCTTCGACACCGTTCTACTGGTGATAGAAGCCACTCTAGAGATGAGATTTCATAATAGCGGGTATCCTGGATGTTAGATGGATGTTAGATCGATGCACCCTTCCCTAGAATTCTTTTGCCACAAGTCCACCGATGTGATGTTCTCTGGGCCATGAGCCAAACAGCGGCCCGCTGCAATGATGTAAACAACGGATCAGTCAACCAGAATCAGGCCGAGGATCCATGTCCTTCAGGACAATTTGATCCAGAATTGAATTATACAAAAAAGTGACCTATGACGGCAATCAGGGTGAAAAGGCAAGTTATACCATGGTTCAGCAAGATGAGTGATTGGCAGGAAGGTCAAGTACTTGGACGACTCCCACCATTGACGACCTGGGTATATTCTCTACCTGGCCACATGATCTCCCTTCGTTTCTGGCTGAAATCATACCTAACTTGAGATAACCTTTCTTACAGTAGCTCAGGGAAAGGATGCTCATTGGATCAGAGACAAACTTCAGCCCTTAGAATATATCATGGATATCATCGTCATGGACACACTCTATCCTCGTGACCCAACCAAAAGCACGAGCGGTCGTCCACCTTCGATTCCAATCATGTCGCTTACCAACAGAGAGAAACTGTAAATATGCAAGGGGATAGATCATTGACTTCAGTTCCTCAGCCTCTAGTTTATGAGCACGGTGCAAGCTGTCAGGAGTGGATGAGCTTGATTGAACTGCAGTGGTTCAAGGTACAATCGCATCGCATCTTGACGGTTTCAAAAGTCACTTTCAAACACCGCAGATCTGACAGAAAATGTTCAAATTCTTCCTTCAAAGTGCGATAGATGTCAAATTCAAATCAAAATCTATGAGATACTCATACCAAGATTCAGGTAATTTGTTCGAAAAAAGGTGAATAACTTGGCAAGGGAGAGGGGTTCTGATCGAGAGCCCACAAACAACGCGAGGATGGAGAAATTGAGTTGACAAAAAGGAGGTAGAACAACAGGTTGCCCAGATTAGTTTCGCCTGGAATGCGCATAGACCGAGATCAAATCCCCTTTAGTCTCCATATGAGTATGATAGACAGGTGCGAAAGGGGAGAAGGGATTAATTCATCGCCTACGTGTATGGAGCAGAGGGAAGACAAGAACTGCTGAGGGAGGCAGACAGTAGAATCATGCGCGTACAAAACAACATGAAATCGATACTCTTAGCGATTCCCTCTTGTTACTTTCAAAGGCTGATCGTCGCGCTACATTAGTTCAATCTGTACCTGCTAAGTCATTAACTAGAAGTCTAAGATATGAAAAGCACAAATATCGAGACAAAATAAAAATTAGAGACGAGGAAAGCGAAGAAAAGGAGGGAGAGATTTGACGTGTTGTGCCGCTTCTGCTTGCGAGTGATCCTGTGTCAACACCGGCTGCCCTATAAATCGCGGTGCCCCGCGGCTTTTCCACCCCTTCCGTTGTCGACTGCTTTTTCTCTTCCTCGATTTCGCACACCACTCACCAGTCTATTTTAGGAGCTTCTGGACATTGAATCCATCTTCTGGATCTCTTGATTCATATATATACATAGCTTCACCATCAGCAACACCAATCCCCCTCTTATCTTTCAACATGCCTCCCAAGAAAGCTTCCAGCGGCGCGACCAAGAAGGCCACCTCGAGCCACGCCTCCTACCGTGGTATGTTTCTACTGATCTTTCATCACCACCACTTCGCGTTTGGGCGATTTTGATATCATTTTCGTCGCGAATGTCTGCTAATTCTGAAAATATAGATATGATCAAGGATGCTATCCTGAATGTGAGTTAATCACGCTGTTTCCGAAGCGCCTTTTGATGATGGGTGCTGGGTGGGAACTTCCCCGACCGTGACACGTCTGCACGGCGCTTGACTGTCCCAACCACCCATCGGGCTGCTCTTTATTTTATCTCAAGTTGATCGCTGACATCTCTTTTACAGCTCAAAGAGCGTAACGGTAGCAGGTATGTAGTTTTCTGCTATTATCCTCAGTATAGATTCATCGCCGCTGGCGACGTGGCTCAACTTCCCCTCACAATCACCTTACTTCTATGACGCGATCAAACTAACGTATGATTTTTTACATCATTACAGTCGCCAGTCTATCAAGAAATATGTACTAGCCAACAACAAAATTGCTTTTGCCAGTCAGGCCGCTTTTGACAGCCAGTTCAACAAGGCTATCAAGGCCGGTGTTGAGAAGGGAG